AATATTGGTCGCATGCAGACGGAAATAATTAGACCGACCGAAAATAATTTCGGCAGCCGAAATTATTTACGGCAGCCGAAATTATTTACGGCAGCCGAAATTATTTACGGCAGCCGAAATTATTTACGGCGGCCGAAATTATTTACGGCGGCCGAAATTATTTACGGCAGCCGAAATTATTTACGGCATTTAGGCATTTGAGGCAGTATGCCGAAAATATAAAAAATATAGGCATGCCGTAATGCCGTAAATCACCCCTAATTTAGGCACACATGTATACTTCTACCTCAGTTTCTACACTTTCTTTATACGGGTTCTGAGTACTAATAGTGATTTGTTCTCATGTTTCATTTCTTTGTTTCCTTCGTTTTTCTCGATGTGACTTTTGCATTTGCCTAAGCTCTACCAACATTCTATATTCAGGACAATTCTATTTTATGTGTCCTACTTCATCACAGTAGAAACATAATTTTAGAGATTCTCTCTATTCTGTTAATACCTTTTGTTCATCTACATGTGTATATCTTGATATTCTTTCCGTTAAATCTGGATCATTGGTAGTCTCGAAAATGACTATCTACTGATTTGTACTTATTGGTGTTCCCTCATATACCAAGGGTTAATAGACGTAATTGTTCCTGTATCTTTAAATGCTTCTCTAATTTGTTTTGATATTATCTCTCTATGTCCCATAGGAATATTTTTAAGTTTAATAGTTAAATAACTTCTTCTCAAATTCATTGGAATATAACCAAAGATTGATTGCTTAAAAATTGTCAAACCTTCTGATACATAAAATCTTTTCATTTTCTCATCTTTGAAAACTACCTCTAGGTAGATATGAACTCCTTTTTTAAAGTGAGGTTTGGCTGCTATAAAATCATCCCAATTTTCACATACATAGTGGAGATAATCTCATTTGTAAAAAATTTGCCCAAATTTTGAATATCAAAAATCAAAGCATTATCATTCTTCGTGTGTATTTGACTCATAGGGGCGAAAGTGGTATAAGTTGTCTTTCCCCTTCTCAGTTTCGTAAAAAGATCTGACCACTATCTATCATTACTTTTATTAGATCTATTCTTTGCACTATTTTCTGGTCTTTGTTCTTATCATTACTTGCACATACGAGGTCACCTGACCTTACATCATTCATTCCAGAAAGTTCTTTCTTCAAGTTTTCCGCGTCTACCTTCATGGACGAGAAGTTTGGGTCAAAGTCTTCTTCCATAGTATCTGTAACTACCATGTTTCTGTTAGCCTGCTCCTGCTCTGTAGAGTCTGCCCAACTTACTTTTAAGGCTTCTGGGCTAAGCTCTTGCATCAAAACGCGTCCATGTTCTTGGTTCCTTTTTTCTGTTGAAATCATCACCTCAAATTCATTTGTAACTCTAGTTGTAGTCTTGCAAATTTTTACTCTTTTTCTTTGCTGGCCTTCCATATCTTCCTTTAGAAACTTTCTTTTCCTTGTTGCATGGGCTTCCACCCTTGCTACTTGTCTTTTGTAATGGTTAAGGTCCTGTTTTGCTATTTTTACTCTTTAGCTCTTATCCAGTTCTGATGATCAACTGGATAATCTTTTCGCAGCATATTTCATTTGCTATTCTCTTTAAAACCATTAGTTAAATTAGATTTTAATCCAAATAATTTTTATTTCCACCAACTAATTGATATGAATTAGTAAAGATTAATAAATTTTAATCTATTATCTAAATTATTTAATACAAATCACGATTTATGCAGTTTATCATGTGTGACAAATATGACAAAGATACACAAGTAATTTATTAGTGAAGTGTTACGTACTTTAAAGTGTATAATAAGTTAGCTGGGCAATTGATTACATCTTCCAATCATATGAATGTCTAATTGATCCAGAATTTCAGACTACAAGGAATCTACAAGAGCATACATTTAAAGACCAGTCAATCACTACCATCTTCCAAATAATGATAATAAATAAATTGTTCAGATTCTATGTGTCAAAATTTAAGTATTTGTCATGATGGATAAAAAAAAATCTTAAATCTAAATTTTAAAAATGATATTGTCGATATCAAACAAGTATAGTCACTTTTTTTTTTGAATAGGCATGATTTTTTATTACACGATAATTAATATATTCACTTAATAGATAACCAATTTGGTCAAATCTTATTTGAAGGATGAGGTAAAATTCTTTGACAAACACAAAGGATGCTTTGCAATGATATATACTTTGTTTAAAGGTATAATTAGCTATGCATTGCCAATAAGATAAAAAATATATTTTTATATATTATATTCTTGTGTAAAATACAGAATAAGAGTTCAAAGATGCATCACAATTATTTAGAAATTGTCAAGTGGTTTGTAAAATTAGATCAACAGAATATTTATTAAATAAATAATCACATGACTTTTATTAAAGGTTAAGCTTACTCGTTGCATTATAAAACTCCTTTGGATGGCGTATAAATTGTCCAGTAGTATATAGCATTTTCTATTATTATAATATATTAATTTGGTTAGAAAATTAGAAACTTTAATCAAAAAATTTTTTTGCGACTAACCTTGCACATGAATAAAAGAAACTATGTCTTTTTAAAAAATTTCTTTTAATCCACATGGAAAAGTAAAGCCTATCTTGGTTGATATCCTGATTGCTCTATTCATTCCTTAAAATAATCACATCTAGCTCTAGATTTATTATTAAATCTATGATGGTCAGTAGTTTCTAAAAATAGAAGTTCCAAATGAGGATTTTGGATGAAAATTATTCTATCTGCCTTGTGAGCAATATTATCTTGGTTATGAAATTTGCTTGTTTCACTAATGTATATTAATTCAACTTCACCACTATATTAAATTAAGTTATATTAAATCACTAAAAATAATAATAAAAATAATGATAAATTAAAATATACAAAGCGAAACAAATAAGACCAATAGAAGGAGCTAATAAACAATCTACTATGTTGTGTAAAATTGGTCACAACAAGAAGTAGTTGTAACATACTTCAGATGCTGTGATTTGAGAATTTATATTTGTCTTGAACATGTAAAATGCATTAGAATAAATTAATATTATTTAGTTATATAGTCAATATTAATCTTATAAAAGTTCGTATAATAAATGCAGCAGCACTTACTATTAATAGAATAAAGTAAAGATGATTTTAAATGAATCGTCAGTATGAGAATCATTAGAATAAGTATTATCTACATAGATTTTAATTTTTATTTCATCCAATGAGGTCTATATATTAAATAAAATAAATATAAATAAATTTTATCTTAAAAATATATGATCTAAATACAAAATACAGTCTACCTTCATTATAACATAGTTTGGGGCTGAGAAATTCTGTCTATTATAATAAATGTCTGCTATAGTATTATATATTATAATAATAAATTGTTCTAGAGAATTACTTCATTATAATGAGAATAGACTATGCATAAGTATAATTAAGAATATTACAGTTTGAAGAACAGTAGTAATATATTGTTTATTAATAATATATATTGAATAGCTAACTTTTAGTAAAGAGAATTGTAAATATTCATAGTTGATATTGAATGGTTGTGATTAGCATGAGATGCCAACTCTACATAAAATAATGTTAAGATTTTTAGCACTACAAAAGTAAATAATAATTAAACAGAGATATAAGAATAATTATCATTTCAGTTATTATATACCAATACTTGTGTATTAAAAACAATTTTGCAGAATGAAGAAGGTCCTTTCATAAATTCTAATTTACAGAAAAATCAAAACCACCACTTTGAGTATCTTCTAAATGTTTTGTAGTTCTTTCTTTACAAAAAAGACAAGCTTCAATTGTAACAGTTGGTATTGTAGTAAAATATGTGAAATCACCTGGTTTGGGATTACTTATATAATTATTTAATTTTTATCCTTTAATTGAATTATCATATTTTCCACAGATTTTGAAAACTTGTTTCATCTATTGCCAAAAAGTATGTAATATTTTTTAATATCTTAAATAATTGTTAGTGTAATATAAATATATTATTCAAAATATACAGTATATATTACTAAAAGAAAAAAAACTTTTGAATGGTGTGGATTATTTCTTTGCTTTGATAATTTTTTTTCAGATAAGTGCTGTAAATTGATTTTTCATTATTCAATATATCATTATTATAAAATATATTTGTTTGGATAAATTTTTAACAAAAATATCTATCTGGAGTTGCTAGTTTGATGTTATAAAACTAAAAAAAGTAACAATAAATTGGTTTTGTTTTTGCAAATGTATATTTTCTGCTATTGTTATTAATAAGAAGATTCTAAGATCAAGCTGTTATAACACATAAAAAATGGTCATCTAATTTATATTATTTTGATTAAATTAATTTTATTTAACTCTATTGATAGTATTATAAAAATTCTCTAAGTATTAATCTAAAGTAAATAATTTTTTATTATTCATTGCATTGTTATTGTTGCTTATAATGCATTATTCAGAATTTAATATAATAGACTATGTGAGCTAAGCTCAGATGTGAATTTCAAATTGGAGTAAGTTGCTACAGTCTTGTAAAAAAAGCATTATATCTCCTTGTTTACTATAAAAACACTATGAATCTGCAATGTGAATTGTTGGGCTGAATAGTTTCTATTATTTAAAGATATAATTCTACAAGTACGTATATGCAATATTTATGATAAAAATATGATCAACTTTTTTATAAGACAGAATTCTAAATTGACTTATTTTGTTGGAATTATTGAATTAGATTTTAAATAAATCAGGTTAAAATTTTTTATAACCAGAATTGGTTAATGTTTGTCTATATAAAGTGTATCAGAAGCTATACAAATATAATTAATATTATAAAATTGCAATTAAAATGTAGTTACAAAGTAGTGCTACTATTGTTTGAGAGGGCAATTCGAATATATGACCAGTTTAATTCCAATAGTTAGCTTGAATTATAATATGACAACTTTATAAAATAAAATTGGCTTTGCACATGAATAATAAAATTAATTATATATCAGAGTTTATTAATTAAATAGATCAAATCAAATTATATAAATAACAAGGTTCAAGGATATATTAAGGGTGAGGTAAAATATAGATATTGAATAATCTAAATGAAGCTTATAGTCATGTAAATAAGTATCATTAGTTATAAATGCTGGCAATAAGATCCTAGTTCTTCTTTTTTGCTTTTTTTCAAGTAGGCTTCACTGTATCTTATGTTTTTATTGTATTTTGGATATAGAGTAGTGATGATTAGAGTTTTAATCTAGATAATCTGTTATCCGTTTATCTGTATCTAATTATCTAGATAATCTAAATCACCCAAATATTCAGATAATCTGAAGGGTAATCAGATAATTATCTAGATATTAATAGTAAAACAGATATCTGAATAAATTCAGATTCAGATATCTGATAGATAAATGGATAAATGGATAATAGATTGAAATACTATTGATGCTTTAAAACAGTTTATCAAATTGTATCAAAAGCATTACTAATTGATATATGGTGATATTATTATATTCTATCAATTGCCAAAATTAGACAAAGCAGACAGATATTAAAATAAATATTTGGCTACTCCTGTATCTATGCCAAAATTCTGAAAGTTAAAATCTCTAACTTAATTGTCTTATCGTGTGATATCGGATTGCTATTTTTTTTATTACCAAAATTGTTAGCTAAATTACAAATCTACTTGCTGTTGAATCATGAATATACTCTTTGTTTGAGTTATGAACTATTCACTATTGAAATTGCAATTTACTGTTAAATTTACAAACCTACTACTATATACTATTAAAATAATAAACTATTTATTGTTGCAAACCGGTTCTGCTCATTTCACTGATACTTATTTCGTAGACACAATACTTCATTAACAATCAATTCACCAACAATCAATTTACTAACAATTAATTTACCAACAATCAATTTACTGATACTCAATTTACTGACAAGCTTAATTCACTAACCTTATAGTAAACATAATTCTGGTATAATTACTTTGTCGGTAAATTGAGTGTTGGTAAATTGATTGTTGGTAAATTAAGTGTTGGTGAATTAAGTGTTGGTGAATTTATTGTTGATAAATTGAGTGTGGTAAATTGATTATTGGTAAATTTAGTATTGGTGAATTGAGTGCTAGTGAATTAAGATTGTCAGTAAATTGAACTGTCAGTAAATTAAGCTTGTCAGTGAATTAAGTATCAGTAAATTAGTTGTTAGTGAATTAAATATTAGTGAATTAAGTGTCAGTGAAATGAACATGTCATTTAAATATTATGTCTATAAAATAAGTATCGGTAAATGAGGTGGACCCAAAAAAAAAAGTCAAATATAAAGAACTCACATTCCATATAGGTAACAAAAAAATAAGTAGATTAGTAGAATTGGTATTCGATTTGTACTATTATTTATTGTAAAAAAATATGTAAATAACTTACAAACTTATATAGATAACAAAAAAGTAAGTAAATTAGTTAGAATTAATGTTCAATAGAGCATTGATTTGTATCATTATTTACTGTAAAAAAAATATTATATGTAAAGAACTTTCCTTCTATATAGATGACAAAAAATAAGTGAATTAGTTAGAATTAACGTTTGATAGAGCATTGATTCATACTATGATTTACTATAAAAAAAAAAATCATATATAAAGAACTTACTCGCTATAGAAATGGCAAAAAAGTAAATAGATTAGTTAGAATTAATGTTGATAGGTCATTGATTTGTATCATTATTCACTATAAAAAAAAAAGTCATATGTAAAGAACTTACAAACTATATAGGTGACAAAAAAGTAAGTAGATTAGTTAGAATTAACGTTCAATAAGGCATTGATTTGTATTATCATTTACTGTAAAAAAAAAAGTTATAGTAAAGAACTTATCTCCTATATAGATGACAAAAGGCAAGTGAATTAGTTAAAATCAATGTTCGATAGGGCATTGATTTGTACTATTATTTACTATAAAAAAAAATTATCATATATAAAGAACTTAATTGCTATAGAAATAACAAAAAAGTAAGTGGATTAGTTATAATTAATATTCAATAAGTTATTGATTTGTATCATTATTTACTGTAAAAAAAAATGTTGTATGTAAAGAACTTACAAACTATACAGGTAACAAAAAAGTAAATAATTAGTTAGAATTAACGTTTAATAGAGCACTGATTTGTATCAATATTTACTGTAAAAAAAAATCGTATATAAAGAACTTACCTCCTATATAGATGACAAAAAGTAAGTAGATTAGTTAGAATTAATGTTCGATAAAGCATTGATTGTACCATTATTTACTGTAAAAAAAAAAAAAATCATATGTAAAGAACTTATTCACCGTAGAAGTGACAAAAGAGTAAGTAGATTAGTTAGAATTAATGTTCGGTAGATTATTGATTTGTATTATTATTTACTGTAAAAAAATGTCATATATAAAGAACATACAAAAAAGTAAGTAGATTAGTTAGAATTAATATTCGATAGGGCATTTATTTGTACTATTATTTACTGTAAAAAAAAAAAAAAGTTATATATAAAAAACTTACTTGCTGTAGAAGTGACAAAAAAGTATGTGGATTAGTTAGAATTAACATTCAATAGGTTATTGATTTGTATCATTATTTACTGTAAAAAAAATATTATATGTAAAGAAATTACAAACTATATAGATGCCAAAATGTAAGTGGATTAGTTAAAATTAGCATTCGATATAGTAACATTATTTACTGTAAAAAAAAATCGTATTTAAAGAACTTACCTCCTATATAGATGACAAAAAGTAAGTAGATTAGTTAGAATTAACATTCGATAGGTCATTGATTTGTATCATTATTTACTATAAAAAAATATTGTATGTAAAGAACTTATAAACTATATAGATATCAAAAACGTAAGTGGATTAGTTAGAATTAGCATTCGATAGAGCATTGATTTGTATCATTATTTACTTTAAAAAAAAAAAAATCGTATATAAAGAACTTACTAACTATACAAGTGACAAAAAAGTAAGTGAATTAGTTAAAATTAACGTTCGATAGGATATTGATTTGTGTCATTATTTACTGTAAAAAAAAACTATTCTGTTTATTTTACCAATACTCATTTCGTAAAAACAGCATTTTACTGACAATCAATTCACCAACATGTTCATTTTACTTGTGCTTAATATACTGATATTTAATTCACAGACACTCAATTCACTAACACTCAATTCACCAACAATTAAGTAAATTAATCTTTTCAGTGAATTGATTGATTGTTGGTGAATTAAGTATCAGTGCATTAAGCTTGTCAGTGAATTAAGTGCCAGTGAAATAATGTAGTTGAATTGTTTGTCAGTGAAATGCTATATCTACAAAATGAGTGTCAGTGAAATGAGGCGGATCTACCTTTAAACCTATTGAAATTACACAAATATACCTACTGTTA